CTACTTAATGAGAACTTCACCCCCTGTCATTCCACCCCTCCAGACGCTTATCAAGTTAGCAGGTGAGAATTTGCATTATTTAGCTTCTCTTTCTTTAGTCTTTAACTTGTTCTTATTTCCTTATTATGTCAGATGATAAAAAAAGAAGAAAAAGGAAGAATAAAACTGTATATACCTGCTCTAAAATTGCTTCTTTTTGGTTGATTGATAGATGAAATGAATTTTATTGTATGTTCAAACTCTAAAACATAAAAACATATATTACTTACCCAATCAAGTCTCATGATTATAGGCATGTACTATTATTCGTATTTATCTTAGCCCAATGCTGACAGGCATGACATGACATGATGTGCTATGCCCACTGTGAGTTACTTGTTTGATTGTTTTTACATATAGATGGCTACACTTGTACTAAGTCATCAGTGAACCAATTAGGAGTACTGCCTGTCTCGCCCATTTACCCTTTTCTTTAATTTACGAAAATATTTTACGTTATCTTATTTTGCTGTTACTAATGGTTGTAACATTATAGTAATTGTAATGTTTATGATAAAAATAACACTATCGATATTCATAGCACTAGTAAAAAATGTGTTTTTCCCGCCAATTCAAATCACGTAAGGTCACAAGGTCTGCTAATTGACTCCTCTGTGGCTAAGCACTAGCAGAGCCATGTATGTACAGAGACATTTCACAAAAAAAATATAGAAAATGAGCACAGCATCTTCCCCATTTTTTATTAATTTTCCCCGGCGGCATTGGGTCAAGTTAGTAAATGGATATATATTTTTTATATTTTGTCTTTAGATTTTGGAACAACTCAAATTCATATATAAAAATGTGATATGTGCAAAAAATTCAAAGCTTTCCAGAGTTGAAATATATTTTTGAAAGAAAAGGACTTCAAAACCTTCAGTGTTTCAATTTTCAAAGTATAATCCAGAAATTCACATTATAGTTTGTGTACAATCAGTATTGGATAAAAAAACCATTCTTTATTCACAATGGTATTTTTTCTTACTGGAACTACTGCCAGTTTGCAGTTTTTGGTATTGTTAATTATGTGTAATTAGTCTTTCCTTTGCTTTGATTAAAAAAATATAGGCTTTTCCCCATGACTAAAGCTCACTGCCAAGCATGCATAAAAATGGCATGCTGCAGTGCACAAATCAAATCTGGGAAGTTGAAGAGAGTGAAAACATTTGATTAAAGAAGAAAAAACCTTTTGTAAGAATTAACAAGGCCTGTATAATTATGGGTTTGTATAATTAGTTTTGTACAACCCTTGAATTTGAATTGGTCTGAAAGTAGGTGTAAGCAAAAATGTATAAAAGACCATATAACTGTCTTTAACCCATTGTTGCCGGGGAAAATGAAAAAAAAAATGGGGAAAATGCCGTGCTCATTTTTTATATTTTTGTAAAATATCTCTGTACATATATGGCTCTGCTAGTCCTGATTTCACCTTTCCTTGAATTGGCAGGAAAAAGGTATTCTTACTAGTGCTATAAATATAGAGGGTATTATTTTTAACAGCAAATTAGGATAACGTTAAATATTTTCGTAAATTGATGAAAATAGGGAACGGGCGAGACAGGCAGTACTCGTAATTGGCTCATTGGATACTTAGTACAAGTGTAGCCATCTATGTGTAAAAACAAGTCGACTCACAGTGGGCATGGCATGTACGTACATGCCATCCCCGGCGGCAATTGGTTAATCATAAATACTCTACTGTGATAAGCTATCAATAGGAAAGTATATTTTCACAAGCAAGATGTGTGTTGTTATCATTTTGATACCCATCATCTTCATCAAAAGTATGTGTAGAGCATTGGTAGGAGAAAACTACTATATTGGAGGCTGCACAGAAGCTTTAAATCACTTCATTCCTCTGCCTGGCCCTAATGTAAGGTCTCGCACAGCCTTTCCACTGCTCGTGTTGCGAGGCCATTGCTAGCACAGCAGCTGTAATGAAAAGGCCTGTTTGGTCCACATTGCCCCAAAAGGATCAGTTGTACGCTAGGTGTGAGGTAAGCAGTTGGTGGAGACGCCTAGCTTAGTAATAAGTGATAGAAATTGTTTTCCCTGGAGTACAGCCCACCCAGGTTCGCAGACAATGCAGCATGATTGGGTTGACATGCTGAATATACTTCATGCCTTGAGGAAGGTGTCCCTCTTATTCAGACTTTTCCAGGTTATTTTGTCTTAAAAATCTATTCAAAATATTCAAAATATATTCAAATTCAATCTGGTGTTTTGGCAGGTGATGATGATGTACGCACAGCAGAAGGCATCAACTGCACCTTCTTGCGAGATTTGAAGATATTAACAGCCTCAGATAACATGCAAAGTCTGGAAGATTTACTGAGAGGTTTCTTTGAGTTTTATGATAAATTTGATTTCAAGGAAAGAGGCTTGTCGATTGTGAAGGGTGATGACTTTGTGAAGCCAGTACACAGTGCGTTGTACATTCAGGTATGTGTTGAATCATCATTCACTTTATAATATATAAGAATGTGTTGTGTTCAAAGTACAGAGTGTTTTGGGTCCTGATAATAAAGTTTATTTATTCTGTTTATTTAGTTTCTTAGTTCTGTATTTATCAACTTTTTCTTACATGATGTATTTCTGAGAATTAGTCTGTTAGTCACTAGGTTTGTAAGTTCTGTTGTTTATAAACTACAGATTAAAGTATTTTGAATGAGAAACATATTTGAACTCAGTCATTTGTGTGAAATAATGTAGATTCTATATAAATTTTTTAGCTTGTTGAAGCTCTTTGACTGATTTTTTTTGTAATATTATTTGTGCTCCTAAAATTATAGAAAATTTGAAATGCTTGGAATCCTTTACATTTCAAAAATTATAATAAATTCATATATATTTTATAAATTCATGGAAGCCATTCTTTTTAGCAAAACGCTACTGAATGTACTGTAGCCACAAGCTACTATGGTTTCTGTTTATGATATTCTAAGTCTATTTCCTTTTCTTATCATAGAACCCCCTTGAACGTGAGTTAAATGTCAGCCGTAATGTGACGCTGGAGGAACTAGAGAGACTTCGCACAGAAATCACACATGCCAGATACAGATTAGAGGAAGATACTCAACATATTGTAAGTCTTTTTATTCTGTCATGAACTGTCTTACTTTGAAGAGGGGTGATAGATAACAGTATTTGATAAAGGAAGTGGAAAGAAGACTTACATACTACTAATTTATGTAATGTATGGGAATCCTTTTCTTTTTGCAGAATACATAATTCAAAAGAAATGTTCAACTTGAAATTGGCCTATTAATTCTTTTCACTTTTTAATTTATTTTTTTTTATGCACCACTGTACATAATACAGTTTGCTTGCTAATTTCCTAAACTTTACTATAGCATATCCAAATCTGGAAATCTGGTATGAAACTTTGGGATCGTAATAGATACTTCTATCTCAGCCCAGTTTTCCTTGTCCAGTTTCAGCCAATTTTTATCCCCTACCCTTTTTCAGAGCTTTGGTTATGAAATCATGATATGGTATATTCATCCTTAAGTTAGATCCCCATTGTTATATATGGCTTGTGTCGCCTTCCTTTTCATTTCCAGGAGGAGCACGGGCAGCAACCATGGGGCCTCCTCAGCTTGTGGGGGACATCCCATAAGCCCCAGGCACACAGAGGTCTCAATGCCTCCATAGACTGGCAGGAGGTCTTCCACATACAGGAACAGGAAACTCCTCCCTCCTCCAATAAACAGTTGAATGTGTCACCAGTGCATGCAGCTACAAAGTCCGATGAGAAGGTGCCCAGCAATGGTGAAAAGGCAAGGAACAACACCAAGTTCCAGCCAGTGGAACGGACCAAAATGTTAAAGGAGGAACTCATCATGCCATCAGACCTGAATGGCTTGGTGACAAAGTTGAAAAGAAATGTGGTGCAGAAGAATGCAAATGGAAAGAAAAATAAGAAACAGAAAATGAACAAAGTTATGTACAAATGGTGATTTAAATAAAACTGCTACATCTTTTAAAAATCTTGGAATGCATATTCAAGGACTGAACTGAAAGTCAGACTGCTTAACATTTTGGTATATTTCTCAATTTTACTTGTATGTTGATGGGACTGAAAATTTTACTTCATGTTCAATTTCATATTTCATTCTTTGCATTTCTCATAATAAAGTAATTTATTTTGTTATTAGCAAGGACTAATAATGAAACAGTTCCCAACAGTGATTCCTTTGTACAGTTTTGTTACTGTAAATAGAATATCTATTGTTTTTCTAGTCAGCTTATGTTTTCATTACTCCTTGAAGCCAGAAGAAATGCCTATACAAAATATTTTTTACCTGTTCAGTACAATACTTGCACATATTTGCTATTTTAAAGCACACCTCTGCAATAAGCATTCATGAAACCTCATATTTTGGCAAGATACAAATCATTAAATAGAAATTGTGAAAGCAGAAGTGTGTACATATTCTTCCCTGAGGCACAGTTATTTTTCCAGTTAAGTGTTTATACCTTATGGTATACTTCACTAATTACATAGCTTCCTCGGGTTTCACAACATACTCCTCTTTAGCTGGTAGAGGGATATTATGACTTGAAATTATTTAACAAAAGTAATTATATATATATATATATATATATATATATATATATATATATATATATATATATATATATATATATATATATATATATATATATATATTTATATATATATTAGTTCATATCTTATTCACAGCTGTAATCATTTCTTTTTTCATTATGTCTTCATCAAAGTGAAGACCTGCAGTATCTGCAATCTTTTAAGTCAGTTTGTGGAGGGACCAAGTAGGTCTTTAATCTGATTCTTTTCAGTCTGTCCCAATTATTTCTTTAAAGCTGAAGAATATCATAAATTCAATTTTTAGAGCTAAGGGTTTGAAGAGCATCCAATCTGCCTAAAAAGACTTGTTTTTAATAACTATTTCAAGAGTAAAGCTGATTATACATAACAAGGTAAAATGAAATAAGGATTTTTTTTCTTTCTTTTTTTTGTAACAACAAATTTACAGTATTTTCAATAATTATAAGCCAGAGTAAAATTAAAACTCTTTAAAATACACTTTCACCCTGGTTCAGTATAACAATAAGATAATCTTGTATTTACCATGTGAAACTGTTTACATACTAGTATCACTTTGATAGGACTTTGAGCTGGAATCACATGGATGAAATACAAACACACAACACACACTTGGATAGGATAAACATACACAAAGACAGTCAAGTATAACCACAAAAGTTTTGGTTTCTAAGAACTATCAGTGACTGACAGCATTACATTACCATGTGAATGTCAGAGTAGTACAAAATGCCCAAGCTGTTTAAAGGTTTATTTATATATTATAGAAAATACCTGCTAGTTCTCAAAAGATAACTGAAGGAGAGCATTTCAGCTACCAGCCAGACCCATTATGTTAATAAACGTTTGCAAGTCAGTTACTTTCAGATTTAAACAATACTCTTCATGCCTCTTATTACTTCTTGCTAAGGGCAAATGAAACACATTTACAGGAGGGAAGGAGGGAGAAAGAAAGAAGGAGAAAGGAAGGGAGGAAATATGTGACTGCAAGTACATATAATAGGAGCAGCCTTAACCCAATGCCAAAGGTCATCCCATGCCATGCCCACTGTGAGTTTACTTATATGATTGTTTTTACACATAGATGGCTACACTTGTACTAAATCAGCAATGAGCCAATTACGAGTACTACCTGTCTCACCTGTTCACCCTTTTCTTTAATTTTCAAGAATATTTTACTTTATCTTATTCTGCTATTATTAATGTTTTAACATTTTCATAATTATAATGTTCATAGTAAAAATAACACCATTGATATTCATAGCACTAGTAAAAAATACATTTTCCCGCCAATTCAAGGAAAGGTGAAATCAGGTAAGGCAGAACCATCAATGTGTAGAGACATTTTACAAAAAAATATAAAAAATGAGCACAGCATTTTCCCCATTTTTTATTCATTTTCCCCATCAGTAATGAGTTAAGTAAAGGAATTACATGAAAATAATTAACACCCAAGTCATACATCATTGTGTTTGTAAACAGAACCCTACTTGGCCTGAACATTTCCCATAGAGCTTTTAGAATGACAATCTTTATTATTCCAAACTAAAATGGCACAGAAATCCTGTAAGCAGGATGAAGACACACATAAATAAGCATTTAAGTACAATTATCAAAATATTATGTCATCTGCTGTATGCTCTCAAAAAATCCATGTACCTCCACAGTTGTTTACGTGGCTGGACAGCTAATTTATATGATAATAATAATAAGATGAACCTAAGTTTGACCAAATACTTTCTAGTGCAACAAAATCTTTGTCTTAAATAAGTATAAAACTTTTGTTCTGATTAGAATATACCTGAGTATTGGTGCATTTATATGGAATGTTATCTTAAGGTTTAACCCCTAAGTAGACTGGAATGTTTCTTGATCATTAACAAATATTCTCAATTCCTACTGAGGCAGAATCCTTGCACGAGGAAGTTTTACCCAACATATACATAATGTGCTGCACATGCACGTATGCACACACACGCAGACACATGCAGACAAACGTGGACACACATGCACGCACACGCACGCACACACGCGCACGCATGCACGCACACACACACACACACACACACACACACACACACACACACACACACACACACACACACACACACACACACACACACACACACACACACACACACACACACACACACACACACACACAGCCATAATTCTATGTACACAATCCTACTTGTTAATATAATGCACCAATAAGAAAATTGTAAAAAATATACATATGTCAGTTAAACTTACTAAATTTCTAACATACTGGGCTCAAATGTTTTAACGACATAATCGTGGTAGTATACCATGATGCCTAACGGCTGACCCAGGATAAGGGAAGCCCACACTATCATGTTTCCCCATCGCTGCCCAAAGCGTGATTCTACCCATGTTGAGATGTATACTAGGGGTACCTGTGAAAAAAAAAATATAAGTTTGCTTTCATACTTTTAGAGTAAAAAATCTGGGAGCAATTATTAAGGCAATATAACAGTACTATAATGCTCATTACTATCTATGTCCACACAATAAAAATATGTCCTTGGTCCTTGTCACGTCTGGCAAATCATAAACTGAAGATAATTAAACCTTGAAAATTTAAAATTCAAATTCAACAACTATTTGAGAAAATGCATGTTCTCTTACCTGCACCATCATGCCAAGGAACACCCCAATTTTGTACATGTGGAGTGGGATGGACACCAAATACTCGTGCAAAACAGCAGACAGCACAAAGACCACAATGGAGGCTGTAGATTTCTTGTATTTGTTTTTAACCATGGGAACAAAAATATGCCTGAAACATTTACAAGATAATGTTAGGCACCTTTTCATTGTTTCATGAGACTATGGTACAATGAACAATTGGGGAAATGGATTAATGTTCAGTGTGCAGTTCAACTATGAACAGTCTGTTGAATACCAATGAGTTAGTACTTTTATTCATCTAAGAAACTTATGGTTAATGGAAATTAGGCCTAGTAAAGAAACAAGTCAACAGTTAACAGAAATGTTTTAAGGATTCCTTTTTGACAAAATAGTTTGATAGACAAAAAAAATTTCATGGTTATCTGCAACATGTTCAGATTCATTTAAAAATTAACGGCTCAACAAAAGCAGAATGTTTTATGTATCTTTAAAATTATTTAATATGATAGTTAAGAACACATATCAGTCCACATATAAATGCATGAAAAGACTAAGACTATGAGAGTTCACTACAGTAAAATACATGTTTATTATCTGACATTTTCATAATTAGAATTCTGATAAAGAGGTAGAAGAAATCTTTAAGACAAAAATGTCATTGCAAGTGCATTATCAGTAGAACAATTGAGCTGCTTACATCATTATGATAAGAGTTGCTCTACACTTAGACTAAGTATTGTATCTGCTACCATGGAAACAAGCATATGCACATGCACATGCACATGTACACATAATGAACAAACTACACACACACACACACACACACACACACACACACATACACACACATATTCACACACACACGCACGCACACACACACACATATTCACACACACACGCACACATATATATTAAGATATCTAAAATAAAAAAAAGTCTTGTCACACACCTGACTGCCCACTTGTGAACAGGGAGGTTCCACAGCCGCCAGAAGGTGCCCACATCCTTGGCATTCCACCAGTCTTGGTAGAAGTTACGGTCAGCAAAGCGCAACAACTCTCCAAGCGTGTTCAAGAAAGAGTGGAATGTGAGGTAGAACCAGCAGAGCCATAGGATGTGGTTAGGGATCTGTAGATGGAGAAAGAAGATTAGGAGCCTGACATAAATATTGTTGTTTGTTATTCTCCTGTACGGTCTATTAGGTCAAAATTTGTCTGCAAGTAATTGCTCAATAGGAAAGGTATATATATGTATACGTTGGGTAAAACTTCCTCGTGCAAGGATGCTACCTCAGGGAGGGGGGAAGGGAGCAAGGGAGAGAGGGAGAGAGGGAGAGAGGGAGAGAGGGAGAGAGGGAGAGAGAGAGAGAGAGAGAGAGAGAGAGAGAGAGAGAGAGAGAGAGGGAGAGAGGGAGGGAGGGAGGGAGGGAGGGAGGGAGGGAGGGAGGGAGAGAGAGAGAGAGAGAGAGAGAGAGAGAGAGAGAGAGAGAGAGAGAGAGAGAGAGAGAGAGAGAGAGAGAGAGAGAGAGAGAGACAGAGACAGAGACAGAGACAGAGACAGAGAGACAGAGACAGAGACAGAGACAGAGAGACAGAGACAGAGACAGAGACAGAGAGAGAGAGAGACAGAGAGAGAGAGAGACAGAGAGAGAGAGAGAGAGAGAGACAGAGAGAGAAAGACAGAGAGAGAGAGAGAGAGAGAGAGAGAGAGAGAGAGAGAGAGAGAGAAAACAGCATGTACTTACTGCTAGTTTCAACAGCCGTTCAGCACACCTTATGAAATCAAGGTCCTGAAAAAGAAAAGAAAAGAAAAAAAAAAACACCATTAAGAGGAAAGAAATTTAAAATCTTCAACTAAAATAAATGTTATGATGACTAATTACATCCTCTTTCAAGGTTTGTTTTTTTAATGAGTGTAATGTTTATAGTTTGGTATTATTATATCTGCCTTATATACTATATTTTTTTTTATATGAAAATACATATATAAAACAATGATAAAATAAGAAAAACTGATATAAAATACAAAATGCTGAATGCCTCATGTGAAGACAAAACAAATATCAGTAGGGAAAATAATAAATCAATAAATACATTTATAAACAAACAAATAAAGAAAAAAAAATCCTGAAGCAATTTAGGAATGTCTACTAACATGAAAAAAATAGTAAATGAAGCAAAACAAAGCCAAAATTTTACCCCCCAAAATCATTACTCGCCTCGAAGGACTTAAACACCATAAGACAAACTTATAAAATCGGCAAGACCCTACAATGACTTAGAGACAAAATTAGAAAATATCATGGTAGGACTCACAGAGAAGGCCTGGAAAGAGTTGCGCACACTGGGGATAATCCACTGCTGGAACATTGCAAGGAGGATGTTCGTGATTGCTGCAACCTCCAGGATACGACGCAGCAGAAATCTGTGGGATGCAGGCGTGGTCGTGAGAGGAAGAAGACCGGGCTAATAAAACGATAGAAGGATGGTAACGGCTGAGGAAATCTTCAGTAATGACAAATATGATATGTGTTCTACTGTACTGTAGCCATAAAAATAGCCATGGTGATAATTTTATCATACTTGTAATAGTGATGGTGATGATGATGATTATAATGATGATGATGATGATAATAATAATACCATCACCACCAACAACAATAGCAACAACAGCAGCAGCAACATAAAATGACAAAATATTAGTAATGATAAAATTATTAAAGCAATAACAAAAAAATAATAATAATAGAGACAACAATCACAATAATATCAATAGCAATTATTTCTATCATCGTAATTATTTTAATCATAAAAACAACAACAACAACAAAAATAGTAGTAACAATTATTAATATTACTTAGCATTTGCAACAGTGCATCTGCAACAATAAATACTATGAGCAGCCATATCTCTTAACATATCTTATCACCATAAATAATATGAAAGCAGAGATAAAAGCTCTTATGAAAAACCACACCTCTGATAGAATAATCCACTGAGTAAAATGCTGAGTTTTCATTACAACCACAACTGACTTCCTGGCTATTTAAACAGGTGTCAGTTTCATTAAGGATAACAAATACCTTTGTTCATAGGTATCATTCATTTCACTCTGTGGTGAAAAGAAACCTTTGCATATCAGTGTGCAATCAACAGATTACACTAACTTATAGAAATAATAATGATATTCTCACACACACACACACACACACACACACACACACACACACACACACACACACACACACACACACACACACACACACACACACACACACACACACACACACACACACACACACACACAGACCCCCCCACCCTACTACATGAAATGCTGCCACCATGTACTTCATGTCAATATAAAAAGTTCAGAACCAATTACTACACCAATCTTCAGTGGCTATTTGCAAAAATAATACAAATAATTAAGCATCAAAATTAATAAAGAAGTAAACTTTAAAGAAAACAATAATCTAAAGCATGATTTTAACAATTCAGGAAATGATTGACATGAAGGATTATATATGCTTTGAATCCTAGTATATGATTATCTAGTAATACAGAAATAATAATAGTAATAATGATGGTGATGAGTAAGATGATGATGATTAAGATAATGATGATGATGATTATGATGATGACAAGTCTATTAACAATAAACAATTATAGAAAACAAAGATAGCAAACAACTGCCCAAAACAAAGAACTGTTAATAAATCCTTTGCCAGTACCTTTTCCTAATTCTTTGACTCCTTGGGAAGTTGAGTTCGTAGCATAGCGTTGGTGCAACCAGGAAGTAGTACAGGTCACCTAAGGTCAGGTTTTCAGGATACTGCTGCAGGTTAAGAGCTGCTGCTTCTTCCTCCTGTTCGTCAATCTTTTCGGCATCTTTAAAAGTGGGAAGCAGGAGATATCATGTTGTTCTTGTATATTCTTATATATGATAGTAAGGGGAAGTAAAAAAAAATATTCATTAAATAAAAAGTCATATCCCATTACAGAAAAACATTAAGACTATATTAGGAACTTTTATTCCAGCATTCTAGGGAAAACTCACATTCCTTTCGTAACATTTTTTGGAAAGAGAAACTCCTGCGGCGTGAGAATTTTTTCTTCCACGTTCTCTCAGACCGACACCAGTGATTGACCTGTGCATAGGACCACAGCTTCAGGAAGAGTACAGTGTACACTGCACAGATGATGGTTCTGCCCACTGGAAAAAAAATAGGGCTCATGGTAAAAGACACACTCTTTAAAAGGCCCATAGAAAAGAAAGGCTATTTGGCAAGTCCATATGAAAAAGTAAAGATTTTGAACCCATTCAAAAGACAATGTAATTCAGCTTGGTCCACTGGAAAGTGAATTGGGTTTAAGATGGTTCACTGGGAAAAGATTGGATTGTGTGTGGTCCCACTAGAAAGAAGTGGGGGTTTAGATGGACTTCAGTGGAAAGAGACTGGGATTTAGGGCAGCCTACTGGAAAGTGACTAGGCTCTTTAAGTGGGTCCACTAGACAGATACTGGACCTTAGGTATGCCAACAAGAAGTAGACTGGCCTCTAATCAGGACCGCTGGAAAGAAATTTGGCAGCAACACAAATAACTCTTAATCAAAAGCAAGTCAAAAATATCAGAATACTTGCTTTGAGAATCAAACCTTAAATAGACATACAGAAAAATATGCACATATCTATACACTTAACAAACACACTCTGCATAACACTTACGCAGGCTGAACAGGTCTGTCCACAGACCCAGGATCACTATAGGGATGCTGAGGATTGTGGTGAGGTGAGTGGCATGGATGTAGGCACCGAGGTTGTTTGGGATCGCATCCTGTGAGATATCAGATAGCTTTCAAAACTTACTTTCAATACCTTTATTGGTAAAGCATTTCATAGTACTTGCTATGTAAAGATTCTAATGTTTATACATTTACATGACTCAAAAACCTGTAGCATATGCAACCCAGATAACACAATGAGTGTATATATATATATACACCATACCATACAATACCTCAACCAACAACAGATTAAACTGGCAACTGACTTATCCTTTCAGTCAAACTGACACTAGGTTTTATTCTGAGAAGCATGATATCAGTAAATAACCAACCTAATGTACCAACAGAAACCTGCAAATGAAACCCTGTAAACCGAATATCAGCAAAGGCGTGGGCACCCAATACTCACCCTCGCCAGGAGGTGTTCAAGGAAGAAGGCAAACAGAATGTGGATATTGGTGGCTGGAAGGGGGGAGGAAAGAAAAACAATAAAAATAAGATGTGAAGAAGAAATAATTCTGGATGCAGGGAAAACATAATCAAATTGTAAGTGAATGAGTGTGTGTGTGTGTCTGTGTGTACATGTGTGTGCGTATGCGTGTGTCTGCGCGTGTGTCTGTGCATGTCCGTATGTGTGTGTGCATGTGAATGTCCATGTGCATGTGCTTGTGCATGTCCATGTATGCATGTACATGTGTGGTCTATGTGTTATAAACTAATAAAATGGTAAATAAATCATAACAGTGGTCACACTGACATGTATATAAAAAAACAAAACAAATATACAATGTTGGAAAAATATATGAAATTAACTATCTAAAGAAAAAAAATGTTCAAAACCACCAAAGAACAAGAAAGAAAAATAATAGAAAGGAAGAGAACAGAAAAAGGTAAAAAAAAATTATAAAATAAAAAAATAATATAACAAACTAAAATCATATGCAACATGAACATTATGAGATAACACAAGAGCTCTCACCCAAGAGAAAAAGCGGGGTGTGGAAATAGGAATCGTTGACCTGCTCACTGGCCAGCCACCCGAGCCAAGACAGGGGGTTGATCCGAACGCCGTACCTGTGATCATTGGTCAGGTTAGGCAGGGGGGAAAGGGGGCTCCTGCTTAGTACTTGTGTGTGTACTTCCAGTATATACAGTATATACTCACCATTCTAAGAAAGAACTAATGACTTCAATTATATTTTGCTGAACATCATCAATACGAACCAATGTAAAAATAGGAAAGTCCTGATTGCTAATATACCTATGATATATCTGTCTAATATATCTTTATAATGAAGGCCTTCTGAATAAGATGTATTTCCATGCATATCATTTCTATCTATCCTCAACAGAATACTTAGATATATGTAACCTTTTTCCTACCATTTATTTAAAAGAATGGAGGTAGAGAGATAGGGAGAAAGATAGGGAAAGGGAGGGAGGAAGACAACTGGGAGTAAGAGAGGAGAGGATAGGAGAGGGAGAGGGCAGGAAGAAGGAGAGGAAAAGGATATAAGAGGGAGGAGGAGAGGATGATGATAGGGAGGAGACAAGAAGAAGGAGAGGGAGAGGGAGACAATGAAAAAGAGAGGGAGAGGAGAGAGAGAGAAGGAGAGGACATGAAGAGGGAGAGATACAGGGAGAAGGACGCATTGATAACGAGAGTGAGAATGAAAGATAGACGCCACGGACGGGAGAACAGCGACAGACGGAGCGAGGCCACACAGCATACGAATGAGCCACCCCGTTAACGAGCGCAAAGGGGGCGAAGGCGGACGACCAGGAGAACAGGGAAGCCCGAGGGGCAGAAGCCGGGGCGAGAGCGGTAGGCAGGGGGCGGGGCAGGGCAGCAGGGGGAGGACAAAAAAGGGAGGAGGAGAGAGAGGGGGGCACAGGGGAGGGAGGGCAGGGAGGAAAAAGGAGGAGAGAGAAAGAGAAGAGTAGAGAGAGAGAGAGAGAGAGAGATGAGAGCGGGGGAAAGGGGAAAAAAGGGGGTGGGGAAGGCTAAAGGGGGAGTGGGAAGGGGGGGGAAAGGGGGAAAAAAGAGAGACAGAGAGGACAGAGAGACGAGATACAGAGGACAAGATAGAGACAGACAAGGACGAAGACAGACAGAGAGAGAGACAGAACAGAAAGAGAGAGAGACAGACATACAGAGCGAGAGACCGACATACAGAGAGAGAGAGACAGACAAGGAGAGAGACAGACAGACAGAGAGAGAGAGACAGACAGACAGGAGAGAGACAGACCGGACATGAGAGAGATACAGACATACAGAAGAGAGGAAGACAGAAGAGAGAGAGACAGACATACAGAGAGAGGAGACAGACAGACAGAGAGAGAGACAACATTACATAGGAGCTAGCCGACATACATAGAGAGAGACATACCAGACAGAGAGGAGAGACGACAGAAAGAGAGAGAGGACCCAGACAGACAATAGAGAGACAGAAGACAAGAGAGAGACATACAACAAGGAGGAGACAGACATACATAGGAGAGTAGACATGAAGACAGAGAGAGGAGACCTACAGACAGAAGTAGAGACAGACAACAGAGAGAGAGGACATACAGACAGAGAGAGATACAGCACAGACATTGAGAGATGAGAGAGAAGAGAGATATCATAGAGAGATATAGTACAGAGATATATATAAGATAGATATAGTTAGATATATAGAGACACATCAGTTAGATATATATATATAGATGATATATATATAGAGAGATAAGATATAGATAACTATAGATATAGATAGAGAGATAGAGAAGATATTACACCGTCATGTTAGCGCTATATATATAGAGATAGCTATAGAGGAGAGAGATATAGAGATAGATATATATAGTAAGAGATAGTAGAGATTAGATATATTAACGAAGATAGAGATAATATAGAATAGATATAGTATAGAGTATAGATTATATATATGAGTAAGATATAAGATATAGAGAGAAATAGATATATATAAGTATAGAGATATAAATATTAGATAGATAATAAGAGTGATATAGAATATATATATAGATTATATAGAATGATATATATAGATAGATATATATAGAGAGATATATATAGGGAGAGATATAGATATATGTAGTTATATATATTAGTAGATATATAGAGATATATAGAGGAGTGGTAACGAGCTAAGAAGGAAGATAGATTAATATATAGATATAAATAGGAGAATAGATAAGATAGAGAGAGAGACGCTATAGATATATATCGAGATATATTAAGATCATATATATAATATATAAATATGAGAGATATATATAGATATATATATATAGAGGTATATATATATAGAAAGTATATATAGATATATTATAATAGATATAAGTAGATAGAGAGATATGAGATATCTGAAATAGAGAGAGATAAGAGATATAGATATATAGAATATAATATATAGAGTATAGAGTAGATATAATATATATATATAATAGAATAGAGAGATATATAGAGCTATATATACTATATATATAAAGAGATAGATATAATATAGGAGATTAGAATAGAGAGATATAATATATATGTATATAGAGAGAGATAGATGTATATAGAGAGATATATAGAGAAGATGAGAGATAGAATAATAGATAGTAAAGATAGAGATATATATAGAATATGAGATATAATATAGAGCGAGAATAGAGAGCGAGAGAATAATAGAGAGTAGAGAGAGGTATCGAGAATAGATAGATATATATATAGATAGATAGATGATGAAGATATATAATAGATAATGATAGAGAATAGTATTATATATATATATATATACTATATGAGATATATATATAATATATCGATATATATCTAGATAAGAGATATATATATAAGAGTATATAGATATATATAGATTAGAGAGATATATATATATATAGATATACTATTATATAATATATATATATAGATATAGTATATATATATAATCTTATAGATGATATGATATAATATATATATATGATAAAAAATATATTGATATAATAGAGATATGATAAATATATATAGATATATAAAATATATATATATAATATAAAGATAGATATATATAATATATAGATATAATATAGATATATTAATATAAGAATCTAATATATATTATATAATATATATAGAGAGAGGTATATTATATATTATATATATATATATATATAATAAGAATATATCACTATAATATAGATATATAGATATATATGATAAGATATAATAGATAGATATATATAATATTGATAAATAGATTATATATATATATATATATAATCTATATATAATATTATATATAATATCTATTATATATATATCTAGATATATATATATAATATATAATATATATATATATATATAGAGTGTAGCGATATATATAGTTAATATATTATATATATATCTATATAGATACAGTATATATATATATGATATATAGATAATTATAATAGATATATATATTAATATATATATGAGATATCATATATAATTATATATAGATATAGTAGGATATATAGAGCTATATATATATATAATTTATAGATATATATAGAATATATATAGATAGATATAATAGATCTAGAGATAATATATATATAATATATATATACGATATATATATATAGATATATAATAACTCTATTAAATATATATATAGATATATATATATATATATATAAGAGATAAGATAGACTATAATAATAGATATATATGAGAATACTTAGATATATATATATATAATATAAATATAGATATCATATATAGAGATAGATATAGAGATATTAGAATATAGATATATATATCTATATGAATATATACTATATATATATATATATATATATATATATAGATAGAATATATATATATTATATATTATATAGCATATATAGCTATATATATATATATATAGATAGATATACATATAATATATAGATATATATAGATAATAAGATATATATATATATATAATAGTATAAATATATATTATATATTTCGAGATATATATATATAGATATATATATATATATAGATATATAGGATACATATATATAGATATATATATAATTAGAGATATATATATATATATAGAATATATAAGTATAATATAGATAATAGATTATGATTAGATATAGATAGATATATAATATATGATAGATATAATATAGATATATAAAGGTGTATATATATCGATATATAGTATTATAATATATATAGATATATATATATAGATAATATATATATATATGATGATAGAGATATATATATATAATATTATATGATATATAGAAGATAGATAATATATAATATATATATATATATATATATTATATAATATATATAGATATATCTATATAACATATAGATATATAGTAATATATATATAGATATAAGAGATAGATATATATAATTATGATTATAGCTAGAAGATTAATAGCTAATAGAGATATATATAATATATAAGATATATATAATGCTATCTATATATATAATATAATATATATATAGTATATAGATATAGATAGATATATATATATATATTATATTATAATATATGATATATAATAGATATATATATTAATCTCGAGATATATAATATAGAAGATATCATATATATATGATATTATAGATATATTCAGTATATATATCTAGATATATATATATAGATATATAATATCTATAGATAATATCAGATATAAAATATAATATAGAATATAAAATCGCTATAGATATCGATAGTAAATATAGATATAATATATATAGATATCTAATGATATCTAATAATATTATATAGATAGAATATATAGCATAAAGATATATATATATATATATAACTATCTAGTATATAATATAGAATAGATATATATAGATATATAGATAGAGATAGATATATATATAGATATATAATATAAATTAGTATATATAATCTATATATATAATATTAAGATATATTATATATATAGATATTAGAGAATATATATACATATAGAGAGATATATAATATATATATAAGATATATATAATAATATAGAGAAGAATAGATATATATATAATATATATATAATATATAGATAGATCTATAATATAATATAGCTATAGAGATATATAATATATAATATAATAATATAATATAATATATAAATATAGATATATAAAAACAAAAATAAAATAAATATAATA